CTCTCCTCTCCTCCCCCCGGGCGTCCCCTGGGCTGTGCTCTGGGGCTCGGCACTGGCTGGTCACCGACACGACAGGAAGAGGAGACAAAGCAGTGGGCACTACGGAGCAGGCTGCTCTGGCTCCGGACAAGAGCCCCTGGTGCTGACCAGAGACTGCAGTCAGCTACTGCACTTGCCGAGCAATGAGAGGGAAGGAAGAGCTCACCCCAGAGAAGGTGACAATGGGAAGGTCACACACCTAACGCTAAGGATTGTTTAGCTGCATGAGAACAGCAACTCACCATATGCAATGCAGCACAATACAATGCAACTCATTCCCTGCTGTGGAGAGAGACCCTGAATGAGAACAACAGGGATACAGCAAGTCAGGATTCAGGCAGAGCCGTGTGGGGAGCCCAGAACTGGAGTAGCAGTGGAAGGATGGGAGATCAGATCCAAGGTACAGGGTCAAATACGTGTGTGCACGCACTGACCTGCAAGGTGAGGCTTGGAAGAGCCGGGGGCTGCCAGTCATAACTGAGGGGCATTGGCAGAGCTGGGGGTGTGTAAGGGGAATCCAGAGCTGGAGTAGCAGGCAGGCTACTGGTCAGGATGGAGGGGTACCACGGAGCTGCACATCTCTGTGTTGAGCCAAGGACTGGAATAGCAGGGGAGCTGCCAGTCAGCACTGAGGGGCATTGGCAGAGCCCCGGGCTGGGTGCAGGGTGCGGCTGAGGTGCCCGGACAGGGCTGCATGCAGGGAGAGCTCAGCGCTCACGCCAATGCTGCTGGGAGCCTCCTTCCATCCTCACAGGTGCTAACCTGTGTCTGGACCCACAAGCCCCTCGCCCACCAATCCAGGAAGCAGCATTGGCCAGTGGGAGGAGGTGCCCGCTCAGCCTGTCCGGGTCTAACCTGAGGAATCGCTACTGGGCTTTGTGCGGCTCTCGGCTCCTGGTCAGGGGCTGGAGAAAACCCTCTCCTGAGAGATGTGACCTGTCCCCTCTCCCCACGGCTGGCGGATCCAGCCGAGACAGCAAGGAGGGAAGGGGGCACACAGGGGGAGTGGGGCTGGGGACAGTCATCACACAGGCAGCAGGCATTGACCCAGCAAATCCCCAGTAAAGCACCGGCCCAGCTGCCAGCCCTGAGCTCTCTGCCTCAGCTCCTCTTCCTGCTCCTCCTGGCTCTCACCCCCTGGACTCAGGAGGCTAATCTGCAGCGAGCAGACAGCGCGTCTTCAGCTCACGTGAAGGACCTGGAGCAATTTGGAGCAACGTCTAAGGTTCTGACGTTCGTTTCTATCTGCACTGGAATGAAAGCCAGGTCTTTTGACTGGAGCTGCGGAGTCTCGCTTTGGGAAGATTTTTTGGGTCCAGGGCTCTGCGGTCACTTCTGACCAGACGGATACTAACTAGGGCGCTGGTCTGGGATGTGGCAGACCCAGCTCCAAAGGCCTACTCACCCTGGTTCAGAGCAGAGCTTCTGTCACGGATTATGCTGAGTCGGGCTGAGCAGGGACTCAAGCCTGGGTCTCCCACGTCCAAGGCCAGTGCCCTAACCACAAGGCTACAGCCTGGTCAGAAGTGAGCCACCTCTGACTGCCCGAAGCTGGGACTAGACGACAGGGGTTGGCTCACTCAACAATTGCCCTGTTCGGTTCATTCCCTCTGAAGCACCTGGCATTGGCCACTGTCAGAGACCAGATACTGGGTGAGATGGACCACTTGCCTGACCCAGCCTGGCCGTTCTTAAGTTCTTATAGAGCTCTGGACTGGTGAAAGCTGACACGCTTCTGAACAATGTTTTGGCTTTGCCAAAAATATTCCGACCAGCTCTGTGCCCATCGCTCAGCAGGTGAGAAGTGGGGGAGGGAGCTGGGGTCTCTCCCTGGGAAGGAGGGCTGTGGCCTCCAGACATAACGGAGTTCTTGTGAGCACCTACACTGAGGAGGAGGTTCCTACGCACCCTCCAGGCTGGTTGTGGCCCAGGGAGAGGGAAATGCTGGGCACAGAAGGATGCGTTGGATCGGTGCAGTGGGACGCTGGTTACACCAGTGTTAACTAGGAAGCCATTTGCAGTGCACAACAAATACCACTTTACCAAGCCCGACTTATGAACAATGCTACGTATCCTTAAGTGCCACTTGTTGGTGCTCTTTCTATTAGCTAATTACACGTTCCCATGTCTACAGATAACCCTCCTTCCTAGAGCACTCCTGGGACACCGCAAAGGGGTAGAGTTTGAACTATTCTGTCCAGAAGAGAGGACCTGGGGGAGTGGCTGCATTTCCATGATGAGGAGAGGTAAATCACAGCTATGTGCCTGCACTGCAGAGCCCAGGGGAATCTCCAGGTCCCAGAGTAAGTGACACACTCATTGGGGCCTGCATCTTGCACTAATACCCGTTTGCCCCCCAAGGATGGAAGCAGCCAACTGCATACATCAATCTTCCGTCACCAGCCAGAACCACGCCCAGCTCGTGGAGAACGCAGGGTATAGGAACAGCTCTGCGAATGGGTTCTAGCAGGGAAAGGACAGGTCTGGGCCTCTCACAGAAGGCCGGCCGAGTCCTGATGCTCACGGTGAGGGAACGTCCCAGGCTAGAAGGCCTTTACAGTGGAGAATATTTCCATTCTCCGGTGCTCTGTGCAGGGGATCTCCTGATCTTCAGCGTCATTGCCTGGCAGTGACTGTCCCCAGCTGCGGATCCTTCACAAGGCAGAGCTTTATTGCTAAGCCCATACTAGTTCCATGGAGCTGATGGGTCTCAATAGAGGGTTAGACTTTGCTGCACCTCCCAAGAGGGAAGAAGGGGCAAGGCGGCAGTGATGGGGTTTAAGGTAAAAGGAGTGGTGGAGTAGTATGGGCCATGAAGACCTGGCCCTCAGCAGCTGCCCGGCATGGGGTGCAGAAGAGGGTGCAGGGTGCAGGCTCCGTGAGAGAATTTGGGTGTGGGAGGGGGCTCAGGGCTGGGATTGGGGTGCAGGAGGGGATGCGGGCTGCAGGAGGGAGTCTGGGTGCGGGAGGGGCATCAGGGCTGGGGCGGGGGTTGGGGTGTGGGCTCTTAGGTGGGGCCAGGGATGAGGGGTTTGGGGTGCAGGAGAGGGTGCAGGGTCCGGGCTCCATGAGAGAATTTGGGTGTGGGAGGGGGCTCAGGGCTGGGATTGGGGTGCAGGACGGGATGCAGGCTCCAGAAGGGAGTTTGGGTGCGGGAGGGGCATCAGGGCTGGGGCAGGGGGTTAGGGTTTCGGAGGAGGTGAGGGGTGCAGGTTCTGGGAGGGAGTTAGGGTGCGGGAGGGGGTTCTGACCTGGGGCAAGGGTTCAGGGTGTGGGCTCCAGCCGGGTGGTGCTTACCTCAGGTGGTTCCTGGTCAGTAGTGCAGCAGGGCTAGGACTGGCTCCACGCCCGCCCTGGCTCCGCGCGGCTCCTGGAAGCAGCCATCATGTCTGGCTCCTAGGCACAGGGCAGCCAGGGGCTCTGCATGGTGCCCGCACCCACAGCTCTCATTGGCCACAGTTCCCAGCCAATGGGAGCTCAGGGCAGGGGCAGCGCGCAGAGCCTCCCTGGCCGCCCATGCACCTAGGAGCCGGACATGGCGGCTGCTTCGGGGTAGCTGCACAGAGCCAGGACAGGCAGTGAGCCTGCCTTAGCCCCGCTGCACCGCCGACCGGACTTTTAACCCCCCCGCCCCCGACTGAAGCCCCGAACTAATGAGATTGTGTAAGCAGAAGGCTGGGGCCACGCCCCACACTGAAGGGAAACAGGGAGGGTAGGAAGCAGCCCAGGGGACGCTGATCTGGCGTGGCAGCCACAAGGGACAGAGCCACCTCTCTCCCCGAGGGCCCTGGGCCAGCACCTGGTGGAGGGGGAGGGCCTGGGTTCCGCTTTCCTTCCCTCTTCCTCCGGCTGCCTGAGAGATTATGGAGGACACCATGGGGGCAATGAACTCTGACCTTGAGCCTGGGGGCCCAGCAGCCGAGAGGCTGTGAGCTGCAGCCTGACCACTAGGCCTGCTGGCGCCTGAGTGAAGCCTGCTATAGTATGTCACCGTGGCACCCCCCATATCCTGTGCTACAGCAGGGACTGAAACCCTCCCCAGTGCCCTGGGGGCCACTTGGAGGATGGCAGCCTCCTTTGGACTGCCTATGGGAGATCCCCCCGCACCCAAAGTGCCCCCTCTCACCTCTGACATGCTCCCTACCCTACAGCTTGCAAGGGGCAGCAGTTTAGGCTGCTTTTGTCAGCCCTATGCTACTTCTGAGCTGGAGAAATCCTCTCTATGGCCCCTGCACCTAGCCCCAGAGACAAATATGGGCCTGAGTGGAGGTCAGAGCCAGCCCCATTGTCTCTACCAGAGGATCTGGCCATGAAGATAACTCTCATGGCCAGAGAACCCCCACAGCACGCTACAGGCTGAGTTCAGCCAGAACCATGCAGGGAGCCTTTGCCTTTTCCATGCCCACAGCTGATTTCAATGTTTCCACCACATCTCTCTTGATAACTTACATCTTGATTGGTCATATCCCAGTAGGGCCGCTCCCCATAGGACATCACCTCCCACATGACTATGCCGTAGCTCCACACGTCGCTGGCTGAGGTGAATTTCCTATACTGAATTGCTTCAGGCGCCGTCCACCGGATCGGGATCTTCCCACCCTGCAGGAAAGGAACAGAGAGAAGGAGAGAGTAAGAGAGAAGGATGAGATCTGGAGTATTTGCAGACAATGAACCGGTGAAATGGAGCCGCTGGGCCAGATAACTAGAATTCTGAGCAATGAAATTACTAATGTGCCAGAGTTCCTTGACCAGCATTTACCCCTCTCCACACTTACACAAATCAGTGCTTCTATGCAGGGTTAGACAAGGACTGGCCCTTTTGGAACCAGTGGACATGAATCAATGTATTCCTCCCTGTCGTGCAAGAAGGATGAAGCCCTGAGCCGCTCTGACTTGGCAGCTGCCTACAGACTGGGTTTATATGAAGTGCCCTCTTCCTACAAACTGCTGTGATCTCTGCTGTGAACTCCTGCAATACCTACGGCCTGTTGTGCCAATAGATTCATTTGAAGAAAAATTAGTATGTAAAAATATAGAAAATCCTGACTCTTCTCTCTTGAGTTTCTCCCCATCCTCTTGCTGTCAGCTAGTTATCCCAGTGGAAGGATAAACGCAGAGATTTCAAAGATGTCCTGTTTAATTGTTCAAGCTTTGTGGGATGCATGATACTCCTGGGGCTAGAGTTCCCATGCTGGAAGATTTGTGGCTATCTTTTTATTATACAGGCTCATATAGGCTCCGATTCTGCTGTTACCCTCATGTAAACAGAGTAAATGCATTGGAGTCACTATTGGTTTAAGCTGGTTGAAGTGAGACAGATCTGGCCCACGTGAAGAATTACCTATTCCCTCTTAGTAGGGGTCCTGTTAGGTGAAACAGTCTCAGACCACTACAGATGCTAGATTCAGTAACTGTACAATTACCCTAAATGCCCACTGTGGTCTGATCAGACCCACTGAACTTCAGATAAAATGAGAAGCTTTCTAGGTTGGGCTTGAGCAGAGAAGGTGCCCCAAGAGGGATCAGATGCAAGACCCAGGCTGGGGTCGAGGAAGTTCCAGAGGCCTCGACAGAGAACTTCATCCTAGCGTCTTCCAGCCATACCAGCCATACAAGGCAAATACTATTGGCCAGCACTGCGTTCCTGTAAAAAACAACACTCCTCTGCAGGGCAGGTGACATTCCCAGGCTTCAGGGCTGTTGTTACCAGCAGAGTCACCCTGGGCCCAATTCATGTCCATTTCAGCACTTCTCCAATCCAGCTGTTGCTTGTGCCAGGAGGTGATGGCACACAGGCGTGGGGTGTGCAGGTGCCATCTATCTCCCTTCCAACAGGCGTGCTCCTCATGGTGCGCCAGCCACACAGAGCAGGAGAGCGTGGCAGTGAACTGGGGCACGAGCCACTGCCCCAAATGAGAGCTTTTCCCTGGTCCCTCTGCTAGCATGGCAAACACTAACCCTTAAAGGGGGCACTCGAGTTTGGGCCTGGAATTCATGATCGGGTGCAAGTCCACTTAGCCCAGGTCTGATCCGGTGCCCTGTGCTCGCATCTCTCTAGAGAGGGAAACAGGCCTTGCTTTCACTACCACACCTGCTAGGAAAGAGTCCCAATTGCTGGCGGTCTTCTGAATGTCTCTGTAGACCCTTCGGCTGTCTCTCTTGCTGCATGAGAGGCATCACAGGGAGCAGTAACACTCCCCAAAATCTGGATGGATGGAACGCTTCCTGTTACAAAGGCAGATGGGGTTACAACCACGGCCACCCCCTCTAAAGGACTGTCGCTGGAGCGCTCCTTGAAGAAGAGAGTGAAAGAGGAGCTGTGACTCTAAGGGCAGGTCTTCACTACCCGCTGGATCGGCGGGTAGAGATCGATCTATCGGGGATCGATTTATCGTGTCTCGTCTAGACGAGGATAAATCAATCCCCGAATGTGCTCCCCGTCGACTCCGGAACTCCAGCTCGCGAGAGGCGGAAGCTGAGTCGATGGGGAAGTGGCAGCGGTCGACTCGCCGCCATCCTCACGGCCAGGTAAGTCAACCTAAGATACGCCGACTTCAGCTACGCTATTCGCGTAGCTGAAGTCAGCGTATCTTAGGTCGACTCCCCCCCAGTGTAGACCAGGGCTAAGACAGGATGGGCGCCTGAAGCCAGCGGAAAGGATCCATTTGTGATGGTGCTTATAGGTACAGTACTAACAATGCTGCTTCACGCGATACTGCCACAACTATACATGGCTTCAGGGAACTCAGAAGCGTGCTGAAGGCGAGGAATGTCCAAATAGTCTTCTCAGAGATCTTTCCTGTCCTAGGAGCGAAGGAAGACAAAAGGCAGAAGATTCTGGAAGTGAATCACTGGCTAGGTAAGTGGTGGAGGGCTTGGGTTTTGTGGCACATTTTTCTACCTTCTGTGGAAGAGGGGGCTGTATAGTTTGGACGGCCTCCACCTGAGTAGAAGGGGAACCAATCTTCAAGGGGACAGGCTGGCTTGAGTAGCCAGGAGGGTGTTAAACTAGTAACAAAAGGGGAGGAGCAAATGAATATTCATTTAGCACAAAACCAAGAGGTTGAGAACAGAATCAGTCAAGACACCAAAGCATAAATTTGATTTAATCGGCATTACTGAAAACTGGTGGGGTGGTTTACATAAGAGGAATGTTAAAATCAATGGTTATAACCTATTTATGAAGGCTCATAGGGGATGGGGAGTGGCATTCTATATAAACAATGGCATTACACCTGTTTCAGAGTCACTGACGACTTGGAAGCAATTATTTTGAATGCTTATGGATCAATGGTCTAACAGATAAAGCACAAGATGGGGGTTCTAATTGGTGTCTGCTACAGGCCACCAAAGCACAATAGAGAACAAGATGATTGCCTCCTTAACCACCTATCTATAATGTATAGGGAAAAAAACGGTGGTGTCACGGGGGACTTCAATCTGAGTGACGTCTGCTGGAGATTTCATTCTTCCAGTAGTAAAACATCCTTGGAATGTCTAAATATTATAGATGACTATTTCCTGTCCCCAAAAAGTGTTGCATCCACCATGAAGGCATCCTATATTAGACCTTATTTTGACAGATAAAGAGGAACTGATCACAGAACTAAACATTAGTGGTAGCTTAGGTGCAGTCGATCATGGATTGATTATATTTGTTATGTGCAAACAGAATAAAGTCCAAATTCCTATAGTTGAGCTTTAAAAGGGCCAATTTCACAAAGTTGAAAATACTTATGAGACAAATCAAGTTGGGAGAAAAACATTAAATAGAAAAATGTGAATGATAATTGGGTATTGTTTGAAAATATTTTACTAGATGCCAAGAAGCCAACAAATCTCTCGATCTTGAAAAAAGTTCACACTAGTTAAATAAACAGCCTGGCTTAGAGGGGAAGAGAAATCAGATATAAAAATCCCATATATAACAAATGGAAGGAAAGAAAGTTGATAGTAATGAATATAAATCAGAATTTAAGAATTGTAGAAAATTGATAAGGGAAGCAAAGGATACAAGCACTCTATGGTCAACAAAGTTAAGGACAATAAGAAGTTTTTTAAGTATATTTGGAACAAAATGAATCCTGACAATGTTATAGGAAGATTACTAGATGGAAATGGTAGAATTGTCAATAATAATGCAGAAAAGGCAGAAGTGTTCAATAAATATTTCTGTTCAGAATCTGGAAAATATCCAGATGATATAGCTATAACATAGGAAGATCATGAAATACTTTCCATTCCAACAGTAACTAAGGAGGATATTAAACAGCACTACTAAAGCTAGACATTTAAAAATCAGCAGGTCTTGATACCTTACATTCAAAAGGAGCTTTCTGAACTGTAAATGTTGATTTTCAATGTACTGGGGAAATGGGGAAGTTCCAGAGGACTGGAAAAAGCTAATGTGGGGCCAATATTTAAAAGGAATTAACAGGATGAAAGACTCAAGGAGCTCAGTCTGGTTATCTTATCAAAGAGAAGGTTAAGAGGTGATTTGATCACAGTTTATATTTAACTACACGGGGAACATAAATTTGATAATCACAGGCTTTTCACTCTAGCAGGCTAAGATATAACAAGGTTTAATGGCTCAAAGTTGAAGTTAGACAAATTCAGACTGGAAATAAGGCATACATTTTTAACAGTGAGGGTAATTAACCACTGGAATAATTTACCACGGGCTGGGGTGGATATTCCATCACTGGAAAATTTTACACCAAGATTGGATGTTTTCTCTAAAACAGATGATTTAATTCAAACAGGAATTAATTCTATGGACCAACACAGGAATCAGACCAGACTGATAATCACAATGGCTCCTTCTGTCCTCATAATCCATGCATCCATGAATCTATGAAAAATGCATTTCAACCAACAGTTGGGAGATTTACAGCACAGTAATGAATTTTGCAAACTAGCAAGGAAGAGAGCAAACATCTGCACTGCCAACTGTACCTTGTTCACTGACTTTAACAGTGCAGAGAAGTTTTAATTATTCATGACTCTCCTTCTCTGAGTCCTAGGAAATGTGCTGGAGTCTCAGACAGCAACGAGGCCGTTGTAATGTGAGATGTCAGCATCACGCTGCTTCTGCTAGTAAAGCTTTGCTGAGAAGTTGGAAGAAACTGGTGGGTTCTTTGTGGGGAATTTTTGGTTTGCGGGTTAGTGGAGTGGAGGAACTGTTAGGATCATCTCCAAGAACACATGGAGGACGGGTGAGGTACCAGAGGACTGGAGGAGGGCAAACATAGTACTTATCTTTAAAAAGGGGAACAAAGAGGACCCACGAAATTACAGACCAGTCAGCATAACTTAAATTCCTGGAAAGAGACTGGAACAAATAGTTAACAATTTGTAAGCACCAAGGGGATAATAGGGTAGTAAGAGACAGCCAACATAGATTTGTCAAGAACAAATCATGCCAAACCAACCTAATTTCCTTCTTTGACAGGGTTACTCAGGCAAGTGGATGAAGCTGTAGACATGATATATCTTGATTTTAGTAAGCCTTTTGATACAGTCCCATATGAAATTCTCATCAGCACACTAAGGAAATGTGGTCTAGAGGTGCGCACAACTGGTTGAAATACTGTACTCACAGAGTAGCTATCAATGGTTCACTGTTAAACTGGAAGTGTACATCTAGTGGGGACCAACAGGGGTCTGTCATAGATCCAGATTAATCAATATTTCCATAGTGACTCGGATGGAGAATATTCTTATACAAGCCATGCCACAGACATACCCACAGGGTTCAGATGAGTTTGTACTTGGCCATGTACACTAATTTAGTGCTCTATCTCAATGACAGCTAGCACAAATATGTCTGTGTGAACAGGGAATCACACCCCTAGCTTATAGGGTAGAGGATACCTGTAAGGATAGTTAAGCGTTGGAATAGCCTTTCAAGGGAGGTTGTGGAATCCCCATCATTGGAGGTCTGTAAGAACAGGTTGGACAAACACCTGTCAGGGATGGTCTAGGTATATTTGGCCCTGCCTCACCTCAGCGGGTGGGACTAGATGCCCCCTTGAGGACCCTTCCAGCCCTCCATGTCTGTGATTCGATGGATACTCTTCTGTCATGGTTTCCCCACGTTATTTAGAAGAAGCTGTCCTTCGAAGAAGCTCATGGTTTGTTATTGCGGGATTTCTTATCGGCACTGGGTTTCATGCATCGGTCTGTCATTTTAGGGCATTAACTACTGGCAGGGATGTGAACTGACGTGTGTGGCCTCAGGAACAGTTGGGGCAACAAGGTGGATAACCAGAAAGCAAAGACAGAAACGGAATGAGAAATTCTAGAATTCCAGAATCTTCTTACACAACTGTTACAAAGACCTCCCTGCTGCCAGCTCCACCCCGCCACTCACCCTGGCATTCCTGGGAGCCATTAGCTCTGCCCTGCCGTGCACCCTGACCGTGCGGCCTGGGCCGCTCTGTCTGACAAAATGCATCGTCCCCATCTTGGGAGCGTGTGTGTGAAACACAAGCTGCTTATCCTTAGCCCGCTATGAATGAATCCCCACCCGGTGCAGGAGCCTTCCCCTTCCTGGGGCTCTGCCTGGCTCTCAATTCATGTCTGAGCCCTTCTGCCCTTTCCCTACATGCAGGCTCTGTGTGCGGCGCCCTTCGGGAGTGCTCACACCGACCGCAATGAGCCGAGTCTGACCAGCTCACCAACAGGGCAAGGGCTCGCCAACTCCCCCCCCGCCCCGTGTTCCTCTCGCTCTCTCCCTCCCCCTTGATCACCTCCTCGTCTCCTCCCCTCCCTTCCCACTCTGGAGATGGGAGCTTTACCAGCGCACTGGTGTAGGTGGGATCCGAGGTGTCATCCTCCAGGAAGCGGGACAGGCCGAAGTCGGACACCTTGCAGACCAGGTTGCTGTTGACGAGGATGTTGCGGGCAGCCAGGTCCCGGTGCACGTAGTTCATGTCGGCCAGGTACTTCATGCCCGCGGCGATGCCCCGCAGCATGCCCACCAGCTGGATCACAGTGAACTGCCCATCGTTTTGCTTAGGGGGAGACAAGAAAAGTCCATATGGGACGAGTGGGTTTGCACTTCACTCCGACACCAGGCCAGGGGAAGAGGCACGCAGACCCGGAATGACTTGCCTATAGCCACGCAGGAGTCAGCAGCACGCAGGACTAGGACCCAGGAGTCCTGAGTCTCTGCCCCAGAACTCAGCTACTCTCATACAATCAAAGGAGAGTCGCCAGCCGTTTCTGTTGGAATAAGAGGCCTGGTGTTGCTGCCTATGATGGGGGCCGTGGGCCTGGGGGCCCTAGTGCTCTGACCCAGGAATGGGCCTGCGAGGCTCGGGGGCACCTTGTCACCCCTATTCCTGCCCAACAATCGCAGCATTCTCAAGCTAAGCACCACAGAGAACTTTCCACAGCCAACAGGGGACGCGCCCCCTTCAGAGCAGTGATTTCAGGGAGCTGCTGTCATACAGAGATGCACCTTGCACAGCAGGATTCGGGCACTAGGATCTCACTCAGCTACGTGGGTTATTCCTTTCAGCACAATGAATTATTCACCTCAGGCTGAGGCCCACAAAGGTTTAGATCGAGCGGACTGAGGGCGATATCCTGCCCCTATACAAGTCAATGGCAAAACTTCCATTGACTTCAACAGAGCCAGGATTTCCCCTTGAACGTGTGTGTGCCCTGTGTGCGTGAGCGCATGCGCACTGGCAGGCAGTGGGCGCACGTGTGCCCTGGCCATAGTGAGTGCGTGCGCTGTGCAAGTCGTGCATTTGTCCTTGTGTGCCTTGGTGTGCAGTGTGTGTGTGGACGTCTGCACTTGAGTTTGGTCATGTTGTAACCCATGTCCTGCTCCATGCTGCTAACACGGTGGTAAACTGCAGTGTAGACAGACCACGGGCATCTGTTCCTCGCCAAGTTTAGTAGTAGGCTGCATCCTGGCACCAATGTCTGTGTCCTGGAAGACGTGTTTGTGTAGGGCCTACACCATATTAATTGACACAGGATGTTCACAGTCGTGGCTGGGCCCCACAAGAAGCTGGGCGTCAGTGTCCCCAGGGAAGCCGCTGGGGGCTCAGAACGCCGACGTCTGACCCTGAGCGCGTTTGAAACGTGTGTCCCGCCTGTGAGCGAAGTGCTGCATGTGTATGTGTGAAACGTGCATGCACAGCGTGCGAGCAGTATTTGCTCACCGTGTGTGTGTGTGTGTGGGGGTGGGCAGTGTATACCCTCTGCCTGTGTGCACAGCCCTGGGGCAGAGCCTTCCAGAGCACCGTGCAGCGGCTCTCAGCCTGCAGGGTGAATGCTGCTGGCCTGGAGGGGTGTAGCACTGCCATAGGAAAAGGTGAATCAGCAAGGGTTGGGCCCCGCTTGCCGCCTCCCCCCCCGGTCCCAGCATCCCCTCTGCCACTGCCCTTCCCAGCACCTCGTACCCGGAGAAAGGAGTCCAGGGAGCCATTCTCCATGAACTCGGTGATGATCATGACAGGGGCGCTCTTGGTGACCACCCCCTCCAGGTGGATAACGTTGGGGTGGTCGAACTGCCCCATGATGCTGGCCTCGCTCAGGAAGTCCCGTCTCTGCTTCTCCGTGTAACCCGACTTCAGCGTTTTGATGGCCACAAAGATCTCTCTCTTGCCAGGCAGCTTGAGGTGCCCACTGCACACTTCCCCAAACTCCCCTGAGATGGGAGAGAGCACAGGTTACAAACTGCTGGCCTCCCCGGTGCCCTGCCCTGCCACTCAGACCCTCTGCATGGGACCCTGCTGCTCCCACGCTACCAAACACACCCATCCTCCATGCACCCAGCCCCACGCACCCCCTCCCATGCACCCAGCCCCACGCACTCCCCTCCCATGCTCCGAGCCCCACGCACCCCCTCCCATGCTCCCAGCCCCACGCACTCCCCTCCCATGCACCTAACCCCAGACACATCCTACACGCACACACATCTCCTTGCACCCTGGCCCATGCACACCACCCAAGCACACCGGACCCACATAATACCTGCCCACCTCTTTTCTGGGGGCGGCTGAGTTCATCTGGAATCTCACCGCTGTTCCCCCTTGTTTTGTGCCAAATGCTTCTCCTCAGGCCCAGGCATCCTTCCAGCTGAGGAGCGCTCAATCCTGCTCCCTCTGGGTCAGCCAGCTAGAGCCCAGTGCGGTGTCCCTGCCTTGCAGGGCTGAGTGTGCTGCCCGCAGAGCACCCAGTGCCAGCTGACAGGGGCTGCTGGGTGCTGACCTTGGGCATCCCACCTAGCAGGACGTGCAGGGGCTGGCCCCATCCCTCCGTTACTGGCCACAGCTAGTTCCCGTCTCACTGGCGCAGGCCGCTCAGCAAGCTCCTGCCTAGCCCCTGGGCCTGGCTACCGTGAGGAGGCTGTGGGGCTGATGGAGAGCCCAGCCCAACGTGGCCCAGCCTACCTGCTCCGATCACCTGCTCAATTTTGACACAAGAGATGTCGATTTCCTTTGCAAATTCCCTGACGGCCTCATTGGGGTCTTCATAGGTGAAGGGGTCAATGTAAATCTTCATTCCCGGAGTCACTGCGAATAGGTGGAGGGAGAGAGTCAGACAGACAGAGGCACCCGGGATGACAGCCAGACAGCAAGAAGAAAGGAAGAACCCGTGCATGCCTGTGTGCGTGTGTGTGTACCCGGGTCTGTGTGCGTGTGTGTGTACCCGGGTCTGTGTGCATGCATGTGTACCTAGGTTTGCGTGTGTACCCGGGTCTGTGTGCGTGCGTGTGTACCCGGGTCTGTGTGCGTGCGTGTGTACCCGGGTCTGTGTGTGTACCCGGGTTTGTGTGCGTGCGTGCGTACCTGGGTTTGTGTGTGTACCCGGGTCTGTGTGCGTGCGTGTGTACCCGGGTCTGTGTGCGTGCGTGTGTACCCGGGTCTGTGTGCGTGTGTACCTGGGTCTGTGTGCGTGCGTGTGTACCCGGGTCTGTGTGCGTGTGTACCTGGGTCTGTGTGCGTGCGTGTGTACCCGGGTCTGTGTGCGTGTGTACCTGGGTCTGTGTGCGTGCGTGTGTACCCGGGTCTGTGTGCGTGTGTACCCAGGTTTGTGTGCGTGCGTGTGTACCCGGGTCTGCGTGCGTGCGTGTGTACCTGGGTCTGTGTGCATGAGTGCGTGTGTGCAAGACAGAGATGCTGCTGCCGCAAGGGGCAGGCTCTGAACCCTGCAGACAGCGGGAGCATGTGCAGGAGAGAGGCACGTGGAGAAGCATGTGGCATTCATGGGAAGCGCACAATCCAAGCAGAGCTTCTCGCTGGCCGAGCACAGAGCCCCGTCAGCAGGCCCCTCCTGAACACAGGGGCTCATCAGCCACGGAGGAGCCTGGGTCCTAGGCCAAAGGAGCTACTTGCAAACAACGAAAACGGTTAAGTACAATTCCTCCACAATAGACGCTCCTGCAGCTCGAGCAGCAGACACACCCTGAGCCAACCCCCTGGCTTCCCCAAAGAGAGCAACAGAGCCTGCCTCCGTCTGCCCAGCGCACCCTCAGGGTTCAGGTACTAGGGACCTCAGGCCCAGCTGTGTTACAGCGAGACAGCCATCGCAGTGACCACAGAACCTGAGCCCGGGATCCAACCCCCCCCGGAGCACTGTCATTTTGGAGTTTAATATGGGGGGATCCAGATGTTGGCCAGCAGACCAGCCTGAGATGGAAAGCTGCCAGATTCTGCTCTCAGCCCCCCTGGGCAAACCTCCAGTAACTCAGGCAGGGGGAGCTAGAGATGCCTAGCACCTAGGACAAGCTGGGCACTTTTATGTTGCCACGTCAGTATGCACTTGGGCTCCCAACCTTACACCCCCACCTATGAAAATGCTGGTCTAAGTGACTGACTGAAGGCCACACAGCAAATCAGTGGCAGAGCCAGGGAGATGGAGAATCCACGCTGGTGCCCTGCCCACACTGCCTCCCCACAGATAACTGTACCCAGAGGGGGAGGGACCCAACACTGGTGACCCAGACACAGCCAGGCCTGGAGGCTGAAGACACTACAGCAGCCGCAAGAGCCAAGCTCCCCCTGCCAGATGGAGCCGAACACGCAGGCGGGAGCCGGGCTGGAACTCACCACTAGCTTTGACTGCCCCACTGCACATTGGTCTCATGGCTGGGGGCTGGGAAGGCGGCACTGAGCACCGTGCTTCCCACTTGTTACCAGAGACTTGGCTCTGCCCACCAGAGCCTTTCACCAGCCGTATCCTAGCCTGCCACAGAACTTGGGCTGCTCTTGGGAGCCAAGCCTTGGAGCAGAGCGTGCAGTGGGGTCCGTGAGCTTCATGAGCGCACCAGAGCCAGAAGGGCCAGTCCTGGGGACGTGTCAGTGGATGGGAACCGGCCAGCGAGCCAGGATGCGAGGAAGGCCGTTCTCTCCAGAGTGCGAGCCGAGGGGGTTTGAAGGCTGTATGGCGCTTCAGGGGTTTCTGACACTTCAAACAAAGCCACACTCGCCGCTAGGGCGGCACGGCTGGGACACTGAGCAGCGTCTGGGGCTCTTAGCGGTCGGCCAAGTGACAACCACAGTTACAACAGCACAATAACAACAACAACATTGGAGCTCATTCAATGGCTGTGCAGACATTAAGGCCAGCCGAGCCGTGAGATGGGACAATCTTTGCTAGCGGCTAGCTGGAAATGTGAATGTAGATTTGTACACCTTATAAGGCCGGGTCAACACTAGAAAGTTATGTGGACATAGCCCTTTTTTCAGGGGTGTAATTTTTAACTGGTGTACTGGTACAATCCCTGGGTGGGCACAATTATACCGGTAAAAAGATGCCTTATATTGGCTTAGTTTATTCCTTTCCCCCTAGAGCAGGGGTGGGCAAACTTTTTGGCCCAAGGGCCACATCGGGGAATAGAAATTGTATGGCAGGCCATGAATGCTCACAAAATTGGGGTTGGGGTGCGGGAGGGGGTGAGGACTCTGGGGATGAGGAGTTTGGGGTGTAGGAGGGTGCTCTGGGCTGGGACTGAGGGGTTTGGAGAGTGGGAGGGGGATCAGGGCTGGGGCAGGGGGTTGGGGAGTGGGGAGAGGCTCAGGGTACAGGCTCCAAGTGGCGCTTACCTCAAGCGGCTCCCGGAAGCAGTGGCATGTTCCTTCTCCGGCTCCTATGCAGAGGCGCGGCCAGGTGGCTCTGCACACTGCCACATCCACAGGCACCACCCCTGCAGCTCCCACTGGAGCATGTAGGAGCCGGAGCCGGGCCATGCCGCGGCTTCCAGGAGCCGCGTGGAGCGGCCCTGACCCTGCGCCCCGGCTGGAGCAGTGCAAGTCCCAGACCCCGCTCCCCAGAAGGAGCTCACGGGCCAGCTTAAAACGTCTCGCAGGCCACATCCGGCCAATGGGCTGTAGTTTGCCCATTCTAGCCCTAAAGGATGCACAGCAAGGTAGTGAATGGGGTTCTAGAGGATACACAGTGAAGCGGGGCGGGGTTCTAGAGGACGTACAGTGAAGCAGGGCGGGGTCCTAGAGGATACAAAGTGAAGATGGGTGGGGTTCTAGAGGACACCTAGTGAGGTGGGGGGTTCTAGAGGGCACACAGTGAAGCGGGATGGGGTTCTACAGGACGTGCAGTGAAGCAGGGTGGGGTTCTAGAGGATGCACAGCGAGGCGGGGTGGGGTTCTAGAGGACACTCAGTGAAGCGGGGCGGGGGTTCTAGAGGATGCGCAGTGAGGTGGGGTGTGGGGGTCTACAATTGGGTGAGGGTGGGGTTCTAGAGGATTCTCTCTGAGGAGATCAGAGGTTCTAGAGGATGCTCTAGATGGGGTGGGATTCTAGAGGACACAGAGCATGCTGAGCCATTAATTTCATGCTATGAACCATAAAGTTGTCAAATAAATTCCAGATTAAGTTTGGCCCCTAAATCAAAAAGTCGGGTTCATGGTCAAGACTCCCCAAATGGCTCCTTAAAGTGACCCCCTGGCTCCATGGTGCCCCATTTCCCAGGTAACTGACCAGGAGGGAGGTGAGGGTGTTTCCAGCAAGACTAGCCACCACCGGGGGGCCTTCCTGTTCAGACTAAGGGCCCGGAGCTTGGCTGGGCCCAGTGGGTTTTTCACAACTCTACACAGGGAAAGAGGGAATGAGAGAACGAACCGAAGAAGGAATGGACCCCCAGGCCAGGCACGGGTGCGCGGTACGTACTGTGGCCACTGGTATAGTGCTGCAGCTTGTCAGTGTACTCGGAGTCGGCTCGCTCGAAGCCCCGTCTTCTGAAAGGAAAGCGAGCACTGAGAGGGTCAGGAAAGGGACGGGCACAGCAGGGCAGGGTGCTCCAAGCATGGGGCATGTCAGCACCGTCCCACCGTGCCCACACAGTCCCAATAACCTCTACCTTCTCTGCCCCTCGTCCCCATCTGCCCTCTCCCCTCACTTCCCCCACTTCCACCTGTCCTCTTCTTTCACCTCCCCCATCCCCGCCTGCCCTCTGCCCTCACCTCCACCCTCACCTGGCCTCTCCCCTTAGCTTCTCCACCCCCATCTGCCCTCTGCCTCTCGCCTCCCCCACCCCACATGCCCTGTCACCCTTCACCTCTCCCACCACCCCAGACCGAGCAGCGTGGGCCGTGCCAGGCCAAGCGTGGTGGGGCTGTCCCTGGACAGCGCGTGGCACGCTCACCGGTAACCCACCTGTTGCACACAATGATGATGACGACCACGGCAATGAGGAACACCAGACCCGCTGCGGAGGAGCCGATGATGAGCGGCAGCTTCTCCTGGACGCTGGTTTGGTACTCAGCTGGCACACAGGATGGAGGGAACCCGTTACTGCGCAGTGAGACCCCCCGCAGGTGTCAAGCTCACACGTGGGTGGGGGATGCAGCTCCCCAAAGTGCAGGGGGGAGAGGGAACGCGAGTCTTCTGCCCCATCCCTGGCTATGGGTGAGGGGGGAATAAAGAATCCTTTGCACGTCCCGGATTGGTGGGAACCCGTGGAGAACCTCTGTGCCCACCCCTCTTTGTCTGCTCACCTGAGCCCTGCCAGGTAGGGTGGGTGGGGGGATTCACAGCCCTGCAGCAGAAGGCACCAGCCCACCCTGCTAAACCCTGATCCTGGTCTTTGCCCCTTTACGCAGAGGGACCTGCCTGCCTGTCTCACCTTCGGTCATGGTCTGGAAGTACATCTTGCCACTGTAGCGGCCGTAGCCGGCCACGGTGCGTGCCCGCACCTGGAAGACATAGATGGTGCCGGCTTTGAGGTTCTGCACAGTCATGGTGTTGGTGGGGCTCTTCACTGCTGTGGCATTGAATTCACTCAAATCCTGCCAAGGAAACGACACCTGCTGTTAGAGAGCCGAGCCCAGGCCCTGGCCCCTCTTGGCATGAGGAGCTTTGCATTTGCTGCACCCAGGACAGCTGCCACCAGGGCTCCAGAGAGAAGGGAGCATCTGCACGGGGGTTCTCTGGGGGGGGCAACTCCTCAGTGACTGGGGAAGCCATGGGGCTAAGCGGTGCTTGAGTGCAGCAGCTCCTCGCTTCCGAGGCCAGCAGCGAACCTTGGCAAACGGTGCAAAGCGACAGCTCCCAGCACGCTGTTCAATACCCGGGGATCAGGAGAGCTCTGTTGGAGGGATTGGTTGAGTGAACGCAGGGCCGGTGCAAGGAAGTTTCGCGTCCTAGGCGAAACTTCCACTTTGCGCTCCCCCCCAGCCCTGCGGCAGCTCCCCGCCCCCCCTCCGCCCTGAGGCGCCCCCCTTCACCCCCACGGCAGCTCCCCACCCCCCCAGTCCGGGGAGCCGTGCGGCACCTCCCCACCCCAGCTCACTTCTGCTCCGCCTCCTCCCCGAGCACGCTGTCCCCGCTCTAATTCTCCTCCCAGGCTTGCGGCGCCCACCATCTGATTTGCGCCGCGCGCCCCGGAGGGGGGGGTAAGTGTGTGGTTGGTCCCCGGGC